CCGCCCTTATTTACTGCCCTTTAATCCCCCCACCCCCTAGATCCCCAGAGGGCTGGGTCACTCTGGACCTTGCTACTTCCTGTTTCTGGCAGCCACTGCTCAAAGATTATGGAGCTGTGGAGACAGCTGAGGCAGGCTGGACTGGTGCCCCCAGGGCTGGGCCCACCTCCCAGGGCCCTGAGGGGAGTCCCCCCAGCAGGGAGAGCTGACCAGACCCTCATGTCCCCAGGGGCAGACACTAAAGGTGCCAGGGAGAGTCTGCTGTGGATCTGGGAGGAGCTGGTGAGTAAGGAGTTTAGAGGGGGCAAGGTTAGGGGGGCGGGGAGAATGAATGAATAGGAATGAATGGAAACAGAAAGGGCCAGAGATTGAAAGACAAGAATTGTGAGACAGGAATAGAGAATTAGAGGCAGATGCAGGCAGGTAGATAGAATTAGATGATAGATAGGTGATAGATAGATAGATAGATAGATAGATAGATAGATAGACCCAAAGAGTGAGAGACAGGAATAGAGAGAGAGAAAAAGACCCAGAAAGAGCAAGACAGAGATTAAAAGCAGAGATTGAGAGCAACAACAGAGACAGAAAAACAGATTAAATCTGAGACAGATGGAAACAGTCAAAGGCAGAGAAACAGATAGAAATACAGAGACATAGAAAGACATAGAGACAGAGACAGACAGGTAGAGACAGATATAGATAGCAAGAGAGGGAAGCATAAAAGAGACAAAGAGACTAGGACTTAGAGACACACAGCGAGAGGTAGAGACAGTGAGGGACAATGAAATGGAGAGACAGGGACAATCAGACAGAGATCAAGAGACACTGTGAGAAGCAGGATGGCAGTTAGGGTCCAGGGACACAGTGAGGACCCGCCCAGATGCTGCGAACTAGGACTGTTAAAGAAAAAAAAATGTTATGATGTGTTACAGATAGTAAGGTGATGGGTGTAGGGACCACTGCAATGGGATTTTGCAGTACGGGAGAGAGGTTGGGCTCAACCCCAAATGGGCAAGCCGGAATTGTAGCCTGGGAGCAGGTGAGGGTCAGTGGATGGAAAATGAATAAGAGGAAACATCAGGAGAAAGGGGGGATTCTGGGTAAACTGACCCGGTAGGATTCCTGCTGAAGGCAGGCCAGGGTGACTGACCAGACATCACCTGGGGAATGGTGAAGGGTGAGGAACCTGAATAAATAAGATATGGAAAGTGCTCAGGTATGGAGGATGGGGATTCTTGCTAAAATTGGATTTTACAAGGAGATGAACAGATGGGCCTAGGAGAAGATTCTGGAGCCTGACTAAAGTTTAGTCAAGCCAAGTATCTTTGTCAGGATTTGGGTTGCCACCTGCTCCTACCCAGATTGGGTTGGGGGGGGGGCATGCCCTGTGGGGTGGGATGCCCAAGACTCCCCCTTTCCTCCGGCAGGGGAACCTCCGCAGAATGGATGTCCAGCTGCTGGGCCAGCTGTGCAGCCTGGGGCTGGAGATGGGGGCGCTGCAGGAGGAACTGGTCACTTTCCTGGAAGAGGAGGAGGAGCAGATCATTGAGGAAGAGAAGGAGGATGAAGAGCCAAAGGGAAAACAGGAGGAAGGACACCTGGGGGACTCCTGCCCACCCTCATGCCTCGGCCTCCCAGACTTTGAGATGACTATCTGAGGCCCTGCCAGTGTACTTCCTATTGGCACATGAATGAGATGCAAATTTATGCAACAGGGGGATTTACAGGTCAGATCTACCTGCAAATGTTGATTTGGAATCTACACGTGTCCCTGAGCAAGTGCTTTCTCTGAAGTTGTCTGCAAGGAGGTTCAGGGCTTGGCCTGTGAGCTGTGGGCATGCTTGAAGATGACGTGGAAAGTTTGCAGAGAAATGAGGTGTGTGTGCAGGTGAGCTGCAGGAGTGTTGCAGGGGAGGTGTGGGTCTTTTCAAATAGAATGGAGGTACTTGCAGATGAGATTTTAGGTTAAGACCATCCAAGGCACTGAGCACTTGAAATCGACTAACTAGCCATAATTGAGGTGCACTGTAAGTGTAACATACACGCTGAATGCTGAATTTCAAAGGCTTAGTATAATAACAAGAATACAAGACATTTCAATAATCTTTAAAAAATTAATTGCATATTGAAATAATCTTTTTAGTATATTGGGATACATAAAAATATTACTAAAATTAATTTTACTTGTTTATTTAAGATTTTTTTTATTGTGGTAAAATATACCTAATATTAAAATTAACCATTTTAGGGCTGGTCGAGTGGCTCAGTTGGTTAAGAGCTCGCTCAAGAGTGTGAGCTCTGAGCAACAGGGGTTCGATTTCCAGCCTGAGCTGAGCTGCTGTTGAGCTGCCAACAGGTGGCAGGATGGTTCAGCTAAAAAAAGAAAAAAAAGAAAAAAAAGAACCATTTTAACTATTTTGTAAGTGTACAGTTCAGTAGTGTTAATTAAGTACATTCACATTGTTGTGCAGCCGTCACCACCATCCATCTCCTGAGCTCTTTTCATTTTGCAAAACTGAAACTGTCCCTATTAAACAACTCCCCATTCTGCCCTCCCCCAGCCCCTGGCAACCACCATTCTACTTAGTGTCTCTATGAATTTGACTATTGTAGAAACCGCATATAAGTGTGATCATATAGTATTTGTCCTTTTGTGTCTGGCATTTCACTTAGCACAATGTTTTAAGGTTCATCCATGTTGTGGCATGTGTCAGAGTTTCCTTCCTTTATTAGGCTGAATAATATCCCATCATATGTACATTCCACATTTTGTTTATTCACCTGTCCATGGACACTTGGGCTGTTTTCACCTTTTGTCTATTGTGAATAATGCTACGAACATGAGTGTACACGTATCGTTCAAGTCATTGCTTTCCATTCTTTTGGCTGTATACCCAGAAGTGGGATTGCTGGATCATATGGTGATTCTATGTTTAATTTTTTTTGGAACCGCCAGACTGTTTTCTACAGTAGCTGTAACATTTGACATCCCCACCAACAGTGGACAAGGGTTCCAATTTCTCCTCATCTTTGCCAACTCTTTTTATTTTCTGCCTTTTTTTATTTTCATGATAGCCATTCTAATGGGTGTGAGGTGGCATCTCATTGTGGTTTTGATTTGCATTTTCCTAATGATTAAGACCTTGAGGGCCGGCCGAGTGGCGCGTTGGTTAAGAACTGGCTTGGGATGCTAGAGGGCCCCGGTTCGGATCCCACATATGAGGGCCAGTGACACTGCCCTCTACAGCTAAGATGCTGAACAACAGCTC